AAAAAACCCCCTCCTGCCATTTCCCCCCCAAAGACCGATTCGATCGCACGGAGTTGGCCTTCTCCGAATTCCAGCCGCCAGCCAATGCCGGCTGGCGACCCCCCCGGTGGAGGGCCTTCTCTGTGGCTGCTCCGGCCCTCTGGAACGATCTCCCCGTGGAGATCCGGACCCTTACTACCCTCCCGGCCTTCCGCAAAGCAGTTACGACCTGGCTGTTCCGGCAGGCCTGGGGCTGTTGATTTATCCAGCCCCATTCAAGGTTACGACTGTTGTTGAATTTTTAAATTGTTGTTTTCTATTTTTTATACCCCCCCCCTTCCCTTTTTATTGTTAGCCACCCTGAGTCTTCAGGGAATAGGGCGGCATACAAGCCAAATAAATGAAATGAAATGAAATGAAACTTTACAAAATATAAAATTGCAGGAGAATTTACAAAATGTTGGAAAAAGAAGAAAAAACATCCACTATTGTTTCTACACGTGTCATTAAATTGGAATTAATGGTTATTTATACAAGTCAAACCAGAAAGTGACAAAAACAGCCAAATTGAATTATCAGCCAAAATAAGAGGAATTAGCAAGAGAAGAGATCTATCTTTAACCTTAAGATCAGCCAAAAATAATGTAATGTTTTAAAACCTTGTGTTACATGAGAAACAGACTTAAAATGTGGCAGATGTTTACATGTAGAATTATAATCTCTAAAGATTTTCCTAATTAAGTGAAAGTCGATATTAGATTTATTTTTAGATGCAAAACTATTTCGCGCAGGTGATCACTTCCTTCTTTCTTTTTCAGTGTTTCCATCCCGTTTTTTGGATGAGGAAAAACCCAATGCTTGGGCATTTTTTAAAGGTTAAGTATAATTTTCCTCTTTTGTTTTTCTTCACAGATCTAGTAGAACCTGGTTTTGTGCAGCTTTAATTTAAAACACCAAGATGCTTGTCCCAAAATTTAGCTGAATGTGTGAATTGCTAGTGGGACGAAGGCAACACTTTGTGTGGCTGGAGGTCTTTGACAAGGATGCTTTTAGCGATTGCGTTTCCAGTTGGACCCCTGCCAGTTTTTTGCCTCTCCCATTACCAGCGTGCGTGTAAATAGTGTTTGTGTATAGCAGGTAAATGTTTGAGAGGTGAAAAAATTGAGTCAGGGGGACCATGCTTCCCTGTCCTTTTCTCTTTGTCAGTTTTTTAAAATTTATGTTGATTTTATAGTGTGTCTATATATCTAGAAAAGTGTTACTGTAGTCAACAAATGTCTGTAAATAAGCTTGAAGTACATTTCATTGTTTACTTGGAACAGTATTTGATTGGTCATGCAAAGGATTCAAAACTTGGATTAAAATCATGTCATAATTTCATGATTCATTCTTAAAAGGCGGGTATAATATCTATAAAGGTAAAGGTTCCCCTTGCACATATGTGCTAGTCATTCCCGACTCTAGGGGGCAGTGCTCATCTCCCTTTCAAAGCTAAAGAGCCAGCACTGTCCGAAGACGTCTCCGTGGTCATGTGGCCGGCATGACTCAACACCCGAATGTGCACAGAACGCTGTTCTCTTCCCACCAAAGGTGGTTCCTATTTCTCTACTTGCATTTTTTATGTGCTTTTGAACTGCTAGGTTGGCAGAAGCTGGGACAAATAATGGGAGCTCATGCAGTTATGAGGCGCTAGGGATTCGAACTGCCGACCTTTCTGATCGACAAGTTCAGCCACCCTGTCCCTATAATATCTATAGGGCTCTTTAAAAGTTGTGAACCTTTTTGAATTTTCAATATTTCTGCACAAATATGAAATAAAACATCTGTTCTCCACACCTTCTAAAACTCGGTAAAGGGAAAACAATTAAACAAATTAGTTAAAAATATTGTACTTCTTTATTTATTGAGAAAATGATCCATAGCTACATTTGTGTGAAGAAGAAACTTTTCAGCACCAGCCTATGTAAAACCTCTGGTTTGCCCTTAGTTGGAGCATAGTAATCAATATTTAAAAATAGTATCAGATGTAATGAAATTTGGGAATTTATTATTTATAATCATTATTCTAGCTGGTTTCGATTACCGCAATTGTATATTTAGCCTAGCCCTCTGATTAATTAAAAACAGAACTTCTTATCAGGAAGATTATAGGTTACTTCCAGGAAATTCAGATGTTGTATCACTCAGTTTGGAAAAGATCCTTTTCCTCTGGGCCTTCCCTGGCCATTAACATCCCAAAAGGCCATTAAAGATAACGTGGATATGAAAACTGCTTGTCTAAAACAGTGTTTTTCAACCTTTTTTGTGCAAAGGCACACTTTTTTCATGAAAAAAATCACGAGGCACACCACCATTAGAAAATGTTAAA